GAAAAGCAAAAGTGTTAAAAAATAATAAAATAAAATAAAATAAAATAAAATAATATATATATATATATATATAGCTTGTTATGAGCTGTTCTTTAAAAGACTTTACTCCTATGTCTGGGAAAGCACACCTCACCTTTCCTGCAAGGGAAAATTGCACATCTTGGCTGTATAGTGAAAGTTGTGGGGCTGATCATCTGGTTGCATTGTGTTCAGTAGGCTATTTTTTATACTCAATTCAATTCAATTTAATTGAAAGTAAAAGAAAAAAACCTTGAGTGAAACCAGGCTCAGTTAGGCACAACCATTTTTCCTCTGACCAAACTTCTTGTGCAGATCATATAAGCATATGAAATGGCACCTTTATCAGTTTTTTATCAATGTTGTGGTCACATCAGTCCAATCTTGAACAAAATTTAGTCACAACGGCAGGGAAAAAAGTTACGTCGATCCCTGAAGAGTGTAATTTCTCATCAATCAGTGATCTTACATTCATGAATTAGCTGAAGACAATGCAATTTAACATTTGTAATTGTGATTATCAATGCCGTTTTATTATCGTTTACCAGCCACTGTGACTTGTGGTCTTCCAAAGTTGCTAGCCATTCAGCATTTACACTGTCCTTTTTGTTGTTAGGAAATATTATTCCAAATAATTTTGTCTTTATGTTTTTCTTTACAGTATTTCATATAGTCAGACTCAGCATTTAAACAATTATTTAAGACAAGGGGTGAGTCAAAAGTAGATCAGTAGAATTAATCTAATATGACATTATGGGCGATTGCACATCTCGTCAGTATCATGATCACTGATAACCAGCTGGTTAGTCTACTGATTCTTTGACATCATAGCTACACACATCCATACACTGTAAAATCTAATAGTCAAATTTATTAAATGAAATCAGCGTGGTTAACTCAAAATTGACTGGAAGTAAGTTCTACTTATTCGAAAAGCATGTTAAATTCAGTGTTGAATTAATGAGTTAATTAAGTGATAAAGTAAGTGGAATAAATATTAATAATGTTAATAAGCAGAATTACTGAAGAAACAAAACTACATCTGACTTTAGTCACAGCCTTAAAAGAAATAAAACACAGTCAGTCCCCTAAAATTTCAGCAGAGGGTCATTAATCTACTCAACAAATAACTATTTTAAGTTGTGTCAGTTCATTGGCTAATTTGTATGAATATGTACGAGTTCAGTTGTATGAAAAATTTACATTTTTAAAAAGAAGGTGTGTCACCCAACTCAAAATTTACATTATAATATATAGTATAATATATATAACATTGTTAGTAGCTATATTATTCTGATGCATGTGGATATACTAGGCTTGCTATTTATTTGTTATAATATTTACTGGAGAAAATATTTATATTTACTGTATGTTGTATACATGATAATACAATATTATGATTGTTTTCAATAATATTCAGCAAAAAAGAATACTATAAATGAAAGCTGTTGGAATATGAGTTGTGGTAAATTATCTATAAGGTGTTATTTATAAGTTCTGTGTTAAAGCTCATAATGCTGCAACACCAATTCAATTATTTCAAACAAAAAAATATTAATTATAAAGTTTTAAATTTGAAGTTTTTCAGGTGGATCCACTGTTGAGACGTTGTTGCAATTTTTGTTGGACTTGTTGCGTTTTTTTTTAAGTACCTTAAAAAAATTTTTTTTCCAAATTGTTTTTTACAGCACTTCAAGTTGAGCCATTTTAAGAAAAGAAAATCAGTCAAATATTTTTTTTTACAGGTTTGTCATAATGCGTGCAGCAGAGGGTTAAGGTAGCTCATTGTTATGCGATTTATCTTGTATGTGGGATTTGATTGGACAGGAATCACAAGACTGATTTTTCTAATCCCTATAGACAGGAAAAATAAAGTAGTGACTGCAGGTTGAAGTAAAGAAGTGGAGTAAAATTACCAATACTGCACTAACAATGTACTTAAGGGAAAGTAAAAGTACACATTTTTAAAACTCCTTAGTAAAATACAATTTCTGAGAAAAACTACTCAATTACAGTAATTTGAGTATTTGTAATTTGTTACTTTATACCCCTGATCATAACCCATGACCAATATATTGACACCAATAATAAAACAAACATAAAAAACTTATATTAAACAAATGTTTTTTTTTTCAAACACAATTTTGCCTGACATTTATATGTGAACTGCGTCATGTGCATTTGAATTATTGTGCAATTGTGGGTAGCTCTCTGTGCATTTGTAGATCACTCTGTGTATTTGTGGATTTTGAGACTTTTCTTTCATCGAAACGAACATCATTCATACATTCATTTTCTTTTTGGCTTAGTCCCTTTATTAATCTGGGGTAGCCACAGCGGAATGAACCGCCAACTTATCCAGCATATGTTTTACGCAGCGGATACCTTCCAGCTGCAACCCATCCCTGGGAAAACCAACATTCACACTCATACACTACAGACAATTTTAGCCTACCCAATTCGCCTGTACCGCATGTCTTTGTACTGCGGGGGAAACCAGAGCACCTGGAGGAAACTTACACGAGCGCGGAGAGAACATGCAAACAGAAAACGAGAACTGACCCAGCTGAGGCTCGAACTAGCGACCTTCTTACTGTGAGGCAACAGCACTTCCTACTGTGCCACTGCATCGCCCTCGAGACGAACACTAATCCACAAATAGATGGACTCCACCCCCTTTCTACTCAAACAAATCAGATACTGCCCACGTGGTGCTGACCAATCGTTGGTCATTCTTGCTCTTGCTTATTTTGTTGGAAATCTATCCATCCATCAGGGACATATATTTTTAGAAAAGTGTTTTCAATTCTCTAATAGTCTCTGAAATTCATTTCAGCAAACTTTTGTTCTTATATTGTCCATTATAACCATAAACATTCAGAAGAATCAGTGGAGTACCTTCAATCACAAAAACTGCAGCATTTCAGTGTCTATCCTTATCTTCTTCAGCTTTAACTACTTTCCTAGGACAGTTATTCGACAGCAGATCTATTAGATCCATGACTAAACAGTATGGTATCACCCCATTGGTTTCTCCAAAAGGTTTAGTCCTCTGTACTGGATTGTGTTTCTTGCTAGAAAATATACTGTGCCTGTTGACTTTTGGGTGACGCAGTGGCGCAATAGGTACTGCTGTCAGCTCACAGCAAGACGGTCGCTGGTGGCATTTCTTTGTGGTGTTTGCATGTTCTCCCTGCAGTCGTGTGGGTTTCCTCCGGGTGCTCCGGTTTCCCCACAGTACAAACACATGCGGTGCAGGTTAATTGGGTAGGCTAAATTGTCGGTAGTGTATAAGTGTGTTCATTCGACTAAGCCGACAAGAAAATGAATGAATGAATGAATGTTGACTTTTGCAAAATAAATAAATTAAATCTTTAAGCCTACAGGTATTTAACAAAATAAAATCAATTCTAGAACAAAATGTAAACATGTTATTTACTTACACTACAAGCAGCTTCAACAACAATAGTTTTGTTGGTCCCTCTAAATATGACCACATGACTCGTTTGTCTACAATAGTAGTTCCCATCAAATATTTCTTATGCATTTCCTCTCTCAATCTGAACATTTTCTACCCAAAAGGCCTACGAAAAAAATGCTTTTGCTTTTTTGTGATGTTCTGATCTCTTGCTTTTTCAGTCTTTTCGTCTCAGCATCTCTCGTGCCATTTAGTACTAAAAACTGATTGGAAACTTTTGGAGGGCCCAAACTACAAAACCAAACTTAATGTAATGATGACATAGGACCATTTAGCAACTTTTAGCAACAAATTCTTCTGCCTTTAGCAACTTCCACTGAGTGTTAGTTGTTTCGTTTAGAGTGCGTGTGCCTGTGCTGAATGCAGGCTAAAGACATGTGAGTTTATCGGATCAGATCACTCGTGGCCTCAAGTTCTTACTGCTAGTTTTTACCACAAGATGTCAAAAATAATAAAATTATAAAGCTGTGCATGCTGTACATTGAACTGATATCGCAACATGAATTCCAGCTCCAACCTGTAAAAACACATAAGTCTCAAAATGATATCTCTTTGAACCCTATTGGTAATTTGATAACTATAGGCACTTTTAACTTATTGTAATATCAAATTTCATACGTCCAAGTGTTTTCCCTCATGTTTGTCTGCTTTGCACGAGATCTAATATCTCGTCAACCCTACAACCCACGTTTTAACATACAAAAACAATGATATTGTATTTTATTCTTAAAATATAATGTGCTTCAATTATGTAAGAAAAAGGTAGGTTTTTGAAGGAACTGCTCTTAAAAGGAACGATTAGTCCAGAACATATTATTCATTCACAACATAAACCATTAAAAATAGAACATTTAGACTTTTTTCAAATATAAAAACGGTGTATATATATTGGCAACAGGAGGAATCAAACATAACGACTGCGGATTCTTAAGCAAAAGGTCCAGAGGGTGCTTAATTTACTAAAGGATCTAGGATATGTAAGTGCAATGAAGGAGAGTAGTGTTCGGGAGGTTTCTGGATAGTGAGTGTGGGTGTTCTCCAGGGTGTGCAAAAGGGGTGCAGTCTGGTAAAGGTAAGGATGCCAATCTTATCTATATCTATATTATTTTCACATGTATTTATTACTTGACTAAAATTCCTTGTACTTGTAATTTTACTTGATATATACATTACTTGATGTATAAATTTAAATTACCCATGTCCAGCTCTGGTAAAGTATCAGAAGTACATGATATCATTAGAACAGAGCAAAAATCAAGATCATTGTTAGGTTTAATTTACAAAGCCTGGATTAAGCTGGACATAGCTGGTTTTGGCTGGTCTCCCAGCCTGGTTAGGTTGGACAGGACCAGGCTGGAAATGGCCAATCCCTTCTAAAATCAGGCTGGTCGACCAGCTAAAACCAGCCAACCAGCTATATATGCCTAAATATCTGGGCGTCATGCCTCATCACTCTGTTGGGGAGCACATTAATGATGCATACAATTTAACCATCCATCTACCATTCATTGGTCTGTTTTTGTAGGATTTATTAACATTCTTGAGATTAATAGATTGCTTGCTGACATTTCTCATGGAAAAGTATAGAGTTAATGAAAAGCTTTATACTGCTGCTTGACTTGTTTTTTTAGATGAGCAGAAGGATACATCAATTGTAAAAATCTTTACATAATTAAATAAATATATTTAAAACATGTCACAGGATTTGTAGGAAAAAAATATACAACAATAAAATAGAACATTAGCTACACAAGTTACACATTTCCAGTTTTAAATTGACTGTAATAAGTTAAACAATACACGAGAGTAAACAAAAGCCAATATACTTTACAACATATTAAAGACAGCTTGGTCTAGCAGAATGATAAATTTGTTTAAATTTTAAGCTGAAAATGTTGATTTGGTGCTCCAATATTAACATTCATATCATTAATAAGATTGAAAAAAGTCGCTCTACTGAATATTTTTGACAGAATTTGCTGAATAAAAGAGCAGCATTTATTTAAAATTGTAGCAATATACAAGTCTAGAGTATTATTAACTTCCATCAATTGCCATTACTGTATATGTAAGAAATATTTATATGCATTACAGTATCGTACTGTCCTCAAACTTTTAAAAGATAGTGTAGTTATAGTTGTCCTCCCCAAAATAAAATTTACCTCACCATTTCTTCTGCATGTTTTAAACTTTTAGGAGTTTATAAACACAAAATAAGACATTTTGAAAAATGCTGGTACCCATTGATTCCAAAGTAGAAAAAAAAATCTTAGCTCTGTAGCAGTCCTCCATTTTTGCCATAAACTCCTATTGTTGCCTCACCATGGATCTGACTCAACCCACACAATCTTGTTCTGTTCCTCTGTTACCACAGTTTTAAGAGTGTCCACTAGGGTGGCGGTGTCATGCCAGCTTTCTGGCAGAATACTTCGGTAAAGGCAGGGCAGTTTATCTAGAAGTGGCTCCTCGCTGCAGGAACACTCCAGCACCTGAGATTCAGTAACGCTGTTCTGCCGTAGTTTGTGTCTGCAATACAAAATATCTAAATAAATATTATTACTCTTAGAGTAGCATTTTGATGATTGTTATTCAGAGTTTATTAAAAGGGAATGATTTTGATTGTACATTTGTTGGCAGCAATACATCCCTAAATCAAAAGCTCCTCTTACTCACATGTGCATATTTAATCATGACAAAAGCTGCAATAATAATAATAATAAGAAGAAGAAGAAGAACAACACAGCTTTAAGACATTAGTGCAACATAACGGAGATCCCCTCAGCCCTTGAATTCTGCTTCATAAGCCTCCTCTTTCACTCTTTTGTCCCCTATTATATACAGCATCAACATGTTGCTTTTAGTGGCTTGCCCATGAGACCAATGTAAATCTACTGTACTGGCCTTAAACACACATTTTACTGGATCAGGATTAAGTAAACTTTTCCTTGCAGTTATACCTTCAATATCAAACAATCCAAACACCTCACAACATACAAAGGCAAAGTCTTAAAATTTTTGTTCAGTGGACTTGGAAACTGAATACCTTTAGTGTACCTTTAATGTACCTTTTGAGTCTTCGTTATCAGGAAATGCAGCCCAGGCCATTACTAGGCCAAGTTATTGGTCTGAAAATGTCCATGTGTGACCATTGATAAAATGATAGTACCTCAATCTGCGGAGACTTCTCTCTGTTGATATGATGTAGACAATGATGGGGAAGATTTCAGCACGATGGAGACGACACACACAGTCCAAACCAAAAGGTAAAACACAGTGAGTACCCTATTAAATATACCAAATGTTAGATCATAGTGTTGTGGACAGAGATGTAACTTACAGTATGTAGACAAATATGGCTTATGTGTTGTAACTGTACAATAACTATAATTATTTTAGAAAGTAATACAGTACATGGAACTTTTAAAGCCTGAATACCTTTTTGTCCTACTGGAATCACATGGCAGGTATGAGTGCAAAATGTATTTTTGGGGTCAATAAAACTAGTTAAAAAATACCATTTTAATACAATAAATTGAATACGAGTTTAGTTCAATTCTTTAAATTTCACCTCTGACCTTATTTTTACAGAGCATATTTCTAGGCTTTGTTGGCTTTCAGCTACTGCAATTCCTATTACTGCACCGTATTATTGAAAAATCTGTCATTTTGTTTTGTTTTAATTGAATGCACATAAGAAATCTGCTAAGCAGACATTTGTTAATATGACAGCAGCATTTATGACAAACCCGTTTCATGATCTTCTCAACTCCCTGCAGTGTATAGCAAAGGTGTGTTTTTGAGTCACACTCTTCAAGAATCTCCCCCTTCTGCATTTGCATGCCATGCTCACTAGTCATTAGCAGTTCTAAAATAGAAAGAAAGGAGAGGGACGATTATTAGAACGATTGACTAACCATTGATTTGTTCAATGACTAATAAGAAGGCCCACACAGAATCTGTGCCTGCAGGTTGTTGAGCCTATCATTCCATATATATATATAGAACCAAACACATCTTTGCCACTGTATTTATGACCATCATATCTGACTTAACTCCCCTTATGCATACTTGTTGTGGTCTATAGATTAGAAAATGTTTAATCCAATTAACATTTTCTCCATTCACTCCCAAGACCACTTTAACCACCTTTGTTTTAATAACAGTTCCTTCACAAAATTGTATATATATATATATGAAGTAAAACAGTCCGTCAGTTATGGGGGTTGCTGCATGAATCAACGAAGACATCTCAGTTTGTAGTACAAAAACAGTTCTTTTAAATATCCTCCTTTTTCTTCTCTAGACCTGGATTTATCATTATAAAACATGACAATGTTAAGCATAAATGAGTACACCCCTCACAAATCTCTCCTTTAAAGTAATATTATTTAAAGGATGATATACAATAAAACATTTGTTCATAAATAGGTGAATAGTCAGTACCAAAACCAAAACTGAAAATCATCTATCAAACCAAGATCACAGTGAAAAAAAATCATGAGAAGCATAAAAAAATTGTCATTTGTAATTTTTTCCCAAAGACTTATTCGAATTTAAATTTATCATTGGTCTATTATTAAAGATCTTAGATGACCAAACTCTTATTTTTGGGAAATAAGTGTTTAATAAAACTCCTTTGTTTGAAATGAACTAACATATATTGGCTATATTCACTAATAAATGGATAAAATATAAATGAAAAAAAGGTAAAATCCTAGTTTATATTGTTTTTGTTGTTTTTACCTGGCTCACAGAGCTGATAACCTTCCTGTTCTGCCAGGCGCTTGTGCAAAACACGGCCAAGGATTGTGGGAAGGAGGAGGACTGGGCGGCAGATGGGAGGGAATCGGGGTGTGACCAGTGTGAAGGGCATCAGGGTCAGACATCTGCTCGGCAAACAGCCATCCTCTACAACAGAGAAAATTTTACTTGATTGTTTCAGTGTAACGATACTAAATTTAGATACTAAAAAATCAGAACTGACACTGTTTCAATTTACTATAATCTTCTTTGTGCAGCTGCTTTGACACAATCTATAGTGTAAAAGCGCTATACACATTGAATTGAATTGAATAGACTTGAGGCGGCCATCTTGTGGACTAGAGAATTGGTACTGACAATTTTGTAAATTGGAGAACTCATAGATGTATATACTAGATGTTTTGTAGGCTATTGTTGTCTATCGGAATATATGCGTCAATAGAGTACAAGAACAGGGTACTGATACAGGGTAGCGCACCATGTAAACTGTATATCTATGAGTCAAGAAAAGCCTATCTGAAGATGCCTTTGCATTGCGTATGGGTTTAGTTAATAGCAAAAAAAAAAAAAGCAAAGGATAAAAACATATCATTCTATAGTCACAGTTTAGTTCTTGATGTTACAAAATGTTGTTCTTAACAAGTAACGTTATTGGTGTTAATACAGTCACTTTGGGAATGACTCTTTTTATAAGGGTCATTACAATCCATGTAATCAATGAGTGCTACACTGTATAAATTTCTGACCCCCTATTTTTTTAAAGATGTTTTTGTGATTTTTTGCGATAAAAATGACAATTGTGGCAAGAATTGCCAGAAATTTGCAGACAATTTGTGATTTACAAAAAAAAAATATATATAAAAATAAATAAATAAATAAATATATATATATATATATATATATATATATATATATAAATATATTAAATATAATTATATATATGACACAAATCAAAGGAAGTTTGTGTAACTCTTATTTTTATCCACAATCTTATTTCTCTCTTCTAGATTTCACTTCCCGAAGCATCTGACATCATGTCACACAAAGGACATGCTTGACACCTAAAACATGGATTGCCTTAAATCTCGTCAGGCAGGGAAGCAGGGAAGCTTTTTCTTTCGTTAAAGGCAGGAAAAGACTTAAACTAAACAATTTATTGGTTTGACGCACATCATAATACCAGTCGTACATGTACAGCACAAATAATGTCCTTCAATTCGGTCACATCCAGCAACCATCATCCTAAAACCAATCTTATCTCCACCTGTCCCATTGCTCCATTTCCTCCAACTTTCATTTGCAGTCTGAAGCGAGTCAAACGCATAAAACACCCAATTCGTGCCACAGGATGTCTATATCTCATCTTTGCTATGACTTCAGATGTAAATCACTCCCGCTGCGTCTGCTTACTGCACAAGCTGAAAACTCCCCCACCCCCTCATTCCATGTAATGTTTGGATTGTGAGGGCACAGGTGAGATGTCATTTTTCGAGAGACACTCAAATACATTAAGTGTGCTGCATTTGCAACATTTATAAGTCATGTAAAACAATTAATTGCAAAATGAAATTAATATAATTTGATTATATGGTTTGTAATTTGATGTTTTATTAGTTTATTTCATTTTTTTCCCCTAATAAAGAATTTAGCTGAATCTCAAAAATTTGCAACTTTTTGTTGATTTTGCATTGAGTCCAGCAATTGGTGAATTGTGAAAAACTAAGTCTGCAATATGGAAGTGGTATTGAAGCATGCTCAGGGCCCATATGTGATATCAAGTGAATATATCTTTGTGGAGAATTGGCGCTGACCATTTTAAACCATAACAAAAAAAAATCTGTTAATGCAAATTCTAGGTAGTTGGTATAGTTTGCACCATGTACTTAAAAAATAAATAAATAAAATAAAATAAAAAAAAAACACCTCTGGGACATTTATTGTTTTTTTCATATTAAGCTGATGCTGGTCTTTAAAATACATACAAAACAACAAAACGATCCCCGATCATGCCAAATCATCAATAGCCAAATCCAGCTAGTTGAGTAATGCACATACAAAAAACAGACCCCTGGTGGTTATCTGGGGTCTCAGATAATAATAATAATAATAATAATAATAATAATAATAATAATAATAATAATAAAAATAATAATAAACTCATAAATAATAATCCTACACTTGTATTAGAAACAAAACGATTACACACTTCCATCTTGTATTTCTATTCCTGAGTGGTATGGTTCTGTACAGTACATTACAATATGCATTTATGGCCGGTTCTACTGTCAAAGGTACCAAGATAGTAAACTGTATCATACCCCCTTTTTAGCACCCTTTCCAAATGGTACCTAGCACAACAGTAGAGTACCAAAAGGGTGGAGCCAGACTCTGCCAAAGCCAAATGCGATAGTTTACAAAGAATCATCATTAATGTGTTGCAAGCCAGGAAACATCAACTAACTAGCTAGAATATGATCATAATTATACACTAACAGAGTACAGAAATGAACCATGGGCGACTGAGTTTTGTTTCCATCTCATGTCTAAAAACATGTGGAAAGAACGAGGGGAACTTGGGTTCACAAAATGCAATGTGTGGACAACCCGTATGGTTTTATGCTTATAGTGAGAATGACATCAATTTCAATGTTCTTGCATACACCATTCCAACCAAGTAAGGGTTCTATTGACAATAGAAATGCAAACCTGATCAGGGTGTCAGGCCTGTACCAAACCATACTGTAATGTACTGAACTGAACTGTATCTCTCAGAGTAAATGAAACACAAGAGTCCCTGATCTATTGTCTGAGGAATGTCTCTCACATTTTCTAAGAAAACAGGGAGATTGCAGTGACTGTGGCTGTAATACAGTAAATGTAAGTCAATTTTTACTGTTAGTGAGAGTAAAGGAATCACATCCTATTTTTACCAAGTGAATAGTTTTAACCCCTTAGTTAGCAAAAATTTGAATACTTCTGCTTGAAAACCGTACAACAAACTTTCATCTCCTTTTTACTCCTCCTGTCTATCCAATACAAATTCAGATTTACCAAAACCTATGTAACATTGGTGCAAATAAAAACTTTTATTTATGCCGGCTTAATTTAGGAATGTCAGAAGCATTTCTGTATTCTGAACAAATTAGGAGACCCAGTTATTTATTAGATAGATAGGAGATGTTAAGCTGCGGTCACACTAGAGTTTGAGCATGTGAAATTCTGTCGTACGATGCTGCCAAAAGTGGCGGGATTAAACAAGATGATTAGATATTTTAAAAAAGTGAGCAATTGCTCCATGTTTTAAATTCCTGTACAGAGAGGTCATGTTTTGATCCTCGATTGCTCTCACGCAGTCAAGTGATGTGATTTTGCAGGTCAGAGTTCACCAAGCTTGAACTTTCCAGCCATACCTGCCAACACTCCCGTTTTTCCCGGGAGCCTTCCGTATTTCAAACCCATCTCCAGCAGTTCTGTCTCCAGGAAAACTCCCGAAATTTCACCCCACCCCCCGCTCCTCAGTCTTCAGTTTGTGCACCCACAAGTTGCAACCAAAGGCATCTTTAAAGCAGATGCACTATTTTTACCTTTGAGATAACTCTTCTGAATCTCCTGAACATAACTATAGATTATCTGTTGTCTTTTCACCTTTTTCATCATCTACTGTTTCCGAGTCTAATTATGAGTTAAACAGCAGAATAGGGTGTTACTGTATATACTCACTGTCCTGGCTTTTGCTGTTGTCATCTTCCACACTGACCCACAGTGGGTTTCTTCTCTGCTGACTCGTGCTGACAATCCTCACCACTCTCTGTTTTTCCTCAGCTGCAGTTCTCCCCTGTGAAAAGAAGACAGGTATTCAGTACTAATGCAATAGTTTCTACCAATCTGTATTAACAATGTTTTTTGACAATTCTCTTGACACATCTCACAAAATTTAACCATGTAAGTCACAATTCACAGGAGAAGAGAAATGAGTAATGCCTAGTTCAGACTGCGTGATTTTAGCCCCGATTTTGGCTCGCCGACAGGTTTTGAAAAATCACAGACAAATGCCTGAAATCACAGGCAAATCGCTGCTCGTGCACGTGAGTGACAATCACACAGTATGAACGATCAAAGACGCGATCTGAGAGAATCGCCGATAAATCGCCGATGCCTGTGAGATATTTGGCATGCTAAATATCTGGAGCTGTCGGCGATGCAAATCATGCCATGTGAATTGAGTTTTGACTGAAAATAACATCAACGATCGCCTACAGCCAATGAAAGAGCAGCATTCACTTGTGTGTGCGTGTGTGTACCTGCTGCAGGCCAGCAGGAGGCTGGGGGAGAAGTTAAAAGCGCTCTTTTTCGGTTTATTTGGACCCACGAAATGGAGGGAAAACTAGTGGAGGTTTGACAGGACTCAGGACCAACCGTGTCTGTTTGACGTTTCATACAGAAAGAAATTAGTTTATTATCAACGTTGAGGAGAAATGGCTAATTCCCTTTAAACCCAGGTGAGCAAACATGTACATGTTCTACCCCATTAAAGGCTTCTTTCTTATTATGTAGTTAATAACAAAAGATGTGAGACGTAGTTTGGACGAAGTTGTCGGCGATTCTCCCTATAGTAAAGTCATGCAATGTGAATGTCTATGTCGCCGAACCATCTTGCAGTGTAAACAAAGCAGCGACGAAACGCCAGCCCACATAGTCAAGCAGTGTGAAAACATCTGTGACACGACTAGTTGGAAAATCATGCAGTCTGAACTCGGCATAAGTAAATACCCTGAAATTTATTTAAAACAGATGACATGCAATGCAGGAATGTGAGTATTTTAAGTCTATGCTTATCTGCGTTCTTTAGAGATTTAGGTGAATGCATTTAAGAAGGTGAATTTAAAAAAGAAAACATTCATTTTTTGTCAGCTGTAGTTTAAAGTAAAGTGACCCATATAGCGCCATCTGCGGATCTTGATGGAGGATATCCACCTGAATGCATTTGTGTTAAATGCAAATCAAGTTGAGTGAGGGTGACTGTCCCACGATCTAGTTTCAGTGTAAAGTTATGCATTATTATGTACTCAAAAAGTTCCCACACCCACAGTCTAATAGTTTGACGGGCATTTTTGTAATTCTACATGAATACAAAGATTTGTGCTATAAACTTTTTAGTATGCATTTGACACAAAAGATTAATATTATTAAAATTGAACTTTATAACTAATCATGTCAATAGAGCAGCAAAGACAATATTTTTATTGGTCAGTTAAGCATTTCCCTGCCCTTTTTGTGTTTCAACAAATAAATACATATAAGCTTCATTAGTTTATTGCAAATACTTAAACCACAAAGAGGAAGAAAGTTCAGAGAAAGTGAGAGAAATAATTTCTGCTAAGACTATATGAACCTTACAAATCTACTGATGGACTCTCACCTTTCTGTGCGTTTTGCGAGAGTAGGTCATATCCTCTATGGCCCTGATTAATAGCCTCTGTGCTCTGAAACATTTCAAATGACAATTTCATTCATATTGGAAGTAAACAAGCTGCAATAAAAATGATACGTATATTGTTATTTACTAGTTAAAGGTTTGGGGTTCTATGCTTTTGTTAGAAGTCTATTTACATGTATTATAAAAATATTTTCAAATGTTCTGCTCCAGTCATTTCTTTGCATGCATTTGGCATTTAGTACTCAAAAACATTTGCTAAATTTACTTAATAACTGTAGAAATGGTTATAGCTTTTCAAGATTCATTGATTAATTGAATAAAGTGTACCTGTAGTAGTTGGGCAGAGCCCCACTCTTAAGATCTTCCAGGTGACAAGGATGCACATGACTGCCCCACCAGAAGCCATCATTGGTATGGTAAGTGTTTGTAATATGGATAATGTCATTACACTTAACAGACAGATTTCCTGCTACATCCCCCGGCAATGTCATGTTAACACGTACATAGAACGAATCACCCGACATCACTTCATCGTTCTTTAGTTGTTGTAGCAGGTTCTCATAGGCTAGGTGGAAATTAGAAGATCATTACTTTGCTTTGTGAGTCTCTAAACTAAACAAGCAATCTTGACAAAATACAAATAATAGCATTTACAGGATCAGAATTCATTATCAAAATAATTATTAAAGGAAATTTTCCCACTTTATATCATTTACCTTTACTATGTTCTTAACATGTAACAGCTGGCCCTAATTCTGCAAAATAAACCTAACCAAAAAACAAAACATGTACTGCCCAAACTCATACCACATATTCAAATTTGTTATAGCTGCACAAAAAATATTTAAAAAATTGTTTGGATGGTACAAATCTAAAATCATAGATAACAGTGTTAAAAATCTGCTCATTTAGCTGTAATTGCATAAAAGTAAGCTGAAACCCATAAAATTGTTCTCTTGCTTCTCTACAGAGCACTGGACTTGATAATTGGAATAAATCTCATGAATGTTGATGTTTATGAGAAAATGCAGGATCACTAACATGCCAATCACTCAATAAATGTTTTAAATAAGATCTTTAGTAAAAAGAAATGATCATATACAATGCACTGCACTAATTTTGACAAATTTCAATTTAGCACACAACAGTATGTATTATTGTTTAATTGAGTATTATTTGCTCTTACCATCTTGGTTGGGTCTCAGTGTAATGTGGCATGGCCCTTGGACTTGGCCTAGGGCCCAAAGGGCCTCCTCCATAGTGGTGTCTTCCAGAACCATTTGTACAGCTCTCCGTTTCCGCTCATATTTCAGCTAAAAATACACCACTTCAGGTTTTTTTTTTTTTGGTTTTCATAGCATATAACTGTACTTGAAGGTGCATTCATCATGGAAAATTAGCAGAGACCTGTCACTTCTTTTATCACAGTAATTAATTCATGACTACGTATACACTTTGTTCTTCTTAAAGGTGGAGTAGGTAATTGTCTTTAGAAACATTTTTTTGTTGTGCTGGTTGAAAGTCACTTCACATTCCAATAGTAATGATTAAAGTAAATGATCTAAATGTATTTACATTATATATATATATATATATATATATATATATATATATATATATATATATATATATATATTCTGGGTAAGGCATAAGACTAAAAATTGTTTGTGAAATAAAAATTTGTCAGGCCGATAACTCCCATAATTCTGCTACATAGCCCAAACTGTCTGTCAAAAATGGTAGATTTCTACATCTGAAACAGATCTTGTTCAAACTGTTCATTTGTGCACATTTGCTCACATGCACACGAGAGAGAGAGAGAGAAAGACAGCAATAAAAACAAAAGCTGAAACAAAACTTTTTAAAATCCTGAATCAATAATGAAGTTACTTTTGCATGCTGGAGGAAGGATGACACAATGGCTGAAGTATTTTTTAAACAGGTAATGTTATGTTTTAAAGATATTTTAGTCATGAAAAGCTTATGTAGATTTTTTTGTTTTACAAATGGGTTATATGCACAGAGGTGCACAATCTTCAGGCGAAAGATTGATGTGACTATATTTTCAATTTCATAAGGGACCTTTTACAGCATTCATGTAATGTAGATTTTTATTAAGTTTAACAACAATACATAATTAAATAGCACTATTCCGCTTAGCCTGCTTTACTGAGGTGAAGTTGGTTTTATATCTTTGCATGCATGAGATATTGCGCATTATGACATGTTTTGCTTGCTGCACAACTGAAAACATGCTAGATATAATACTGTTTTTGGTTCGGAATTGTAGTATTATAAAGTACTATATTGTTTTCTAACTGGCGAATGACTTGATAGTGGGTTGTCTACTGTTATTTTTAAGGTGCGCGTTTGAGATTTCAGAAGGTGTGGATTTGGACTGCAAGGGAAGGACTGTTTTTAAAGCTATTATGCTAACAGTTAGCATTTTGGCAGTTCACCTACTGCACCTTTAAGGAATTGCATCACTCTCAAATTAGACTAGTTTTTCCATTGTTTGTCTTCATAACAGGTCAGATCTTAAGACAAACTAATTGTTTTGGCTTAAAATGAAAGACAAATTATTATTTGAACTTTTTAACTTTGGGAGTTGTTCTTCCGCTAACAAAACATTCAGTTACATTCGAAAACAAAACAGTTTAAAAACTAACCTGAAGTATCTGAGTGCCTGGGCTGATGCCAGAGTTATGAGCAGAAGATTCTTTAGTCACGTGATGCACAAACACACCAGTCTTATTGCCACCAATGATCTGTATTTGGTTCAATAGCGTTTCCCCTTGGAAAAATATGGTGAGTATGCGACCAGTGATACGCAGGGCCTGAGGTCTGGAACGCATTAGGAAGGGTGGAGCTGATACTCTCGAGACACTGGATTCATAGAAAAAAAAAAAATTATAATAATGTATTCTTTTTTTTTTTTTCAGTGAGACTTAAAAAAATAAATATGAGAATTATGTTTTACATTTAGTTTTACCTGTCAGGATGGCTCCTTTTACTCATAGGACTGGAAATTGATGATGATGAAACTGACTCTTCCAAGCAATGTCCTTTCAAATTGCAGATCAACAAGTGTTATATATCCAATTGACATTTATTCTCATTGAAGAATGATATTTAAACACTTTTGGACAATTATGTCACACATAAAATGTTGAAAAGTCATTACGTTAGATAACACAATATCAAAGCAGCTATTGACCAATAAAAAGAGTGATACTGTATCAAATTACTCTCAATGTATTTATTTTCATATTTCCACAAATATATAGAAATATATCTAGAAATATACAAGAGATATTTCCAATTAAATGTTCATGTTTTGCAATGACTAATAATTTTTATCACAAGACCCCCACGCAAAAGACTGATAATAACCTGAAACAGAAGGTGCAAAAAATTACAGTTTAGCCTATTAAAGCAGTATTGAGGGTAGCAGTAATGAATCTGGTATAAAAAAATTATATTAATAATAAATATCAGAGATGTCAGTTTAAGGTTTAAGATCTAATGCACAGATCTATAATGATTTAAATATATAAGCTTCTAAACAGCTCTTGTGATTAGATTAGATTATTGAGAGAAAGGGGGCCCCTGATGGTGCAGTAGTACTTTGGGTAAGGGGAGGATCGGCTCTGTGTAGATGTTACTGCTACATTTCTTATCAGGAGGAGGAAAATACAGAAATTTATAAGAAATAATAGTTGTAAAATATGGGACATTCTCAGGTAAAATTGGTGGCATAACAGGTATGGTACCCAGATAAACCTGTGTTAATAGTTTCAACAGTTGTAATTTGGTAATAATATTCTTTGGAATATTGTTATGACCAATCAGAATCAAGTAATGCACAGGAACAAATGTCTTAAACAGCTGGATACACTAAACTACTTGTATTATTATCCAGTCACGATAAATAATAATAATAATTCCTTACATTTATATAGCTTTACAAAATGGGGGAAATCTCCTCATCCATCTGGATAACGTGACGGCAGCCATATTGCACCAGACCATACACCACACACCAGAGGAGAGGAGACAGAGTGATAAAGCCAATTATGATATTGGGATGGTTAGGAAGTCATGATGGACAGGGGCAAGTGAGCAAATTTGGCCAGGATGCCTGGGATTTTTAATGACCACACAGAGTCAGGACCTCGGTTTAACATCTCATCCGAAAGATGGATGAACTTGATTTGATATTTTATTGTGTAATGCAAAGGTGATTATTTTTCTGAATGCAACTGAATGCTGATAAAATTAAACTTTAGCTTTTATTTGTGGCATGGAGGAAAAACAGCAGTACCTTTTGCGATGACGACATAATCATCGTCTGTAAAGCAGTCATCAGCCAGATCCTGAATGCTGAAATTATCTTCTATGTCACTTCTGGATGAAAAGTGTAAATCTCGTCTGCGGAGAGACTCAGAGCAGGGTGGCTCCACTTGATTGGAAATGATACTGCTGATGTGTTCATCACTGAACTGTGAAAAGATTGATGCACATACACAGGTAAAATCTAAGAAAAACATATTTCCTATACTTGCTTCAATTAAAAACAGTATTGCTATTTACGCCGTCAAAGCTTTTCTTACATCATGAAATGCAACAAAAGTTGTTTTCAGCGAAACTGCATGCGCATTCATATGAACTACTAACTTAATGCATGCCTTCACACCTGGAATGATGAACATAAATGATAACCACACCAGCCTGAACATCAATGGATGTATTTAAAGTTTTTAAATTTATGATTGGCTAATCTAGTAGCTACGGATTGCTGGAGAACTACACACACGTCATGTTAACAAACTACAACTCCCAGCATGCACCTCGCACACAAAGGTTATGGATTCCCACTGATGGACTGATATCCAGGACTATTTATATACCACAAAATTTATATGCACACTCAAAGAGCTTAGTCTTGTTGTCCTGTACTATCACAAAGCATTTTCCTTGTTTGGTTTTCCGTATGGTGTTCCAGACCCTTGCTTTGTTTATTGATTTTTGCTGTGAGACAGGGTGACCGATCTCTTCGCCTGTGTCTCGACTACTCTTTTGGATTGCCTTGTGTAATACTGTTTGCTTCTGTGATTGACCTTTGCCTGCTTAACTACTCTTGTAAATAAAGATGCTGAAATTGGATCATCAACCCTGTTGTCTGTGTCATATGTTACACTTTAAATGAGATAAAAAAAACTTTAAAAACTTAATCAACTCTAAAATTATTTAAACTAATCTTAAAGCTTTACAATTAATGTTATTGGTTTTAAATGCATGTATATTGCTTTAAAAGTCTACTGCAAAAGTACATAGCATTAATTCATTATATTTTACAATTGGTTGTATGCATCTAACTTAGGGTGACGTTATGAGTTATGAAGTTTTTTTTTCGTATGTGGTGTGTGCGAGTGGGGTTGTCATCATATTAAACCTCAGTGCTGCATTTGATACAATTGATCATTTTATTCTCATGATAGGCTTAAAAATTATGTTGGTATTGCATTGGCCTGATTCAGGTGTTTTCAATCTGAATGTTATCAATTTGTAACAGTGAATAAAGAGCGATCATACAGATCAAAAGTACACTGTGGGGTTCCACAAGGCTCAGTTCTTGGTCCCTTACCTTTCATACTGTACATGCTACCGCTCTGTGATATCATTTAAAACATGGAGTTAGTTTCTATTGTTATGCCAATGATAAGCAACTTTATCTCCTCTCAACCTGATACTTAGTACAAATTCACAAAATTAACAGAATGTATAGCTTACTGTATATAAAAAATTGGATGACTAAAACGTTACTAAATAACTAAATTCAGATGAAACTGAGGTCTTGCTTCTTGGACCCTAAAACCTCACACGCACAAACCTAGAACACTGTCTAACCCTTGATGAATTTTCAGCTTAGTCCTCATCTTCAGTCAAAAATTTGGGGAGGATTTTTGATAGCAACCTGTTGTTTGAAGGCCAGATTTTAAGCATCTGTTAAACTGCATTTTTTATTTTCAACTTAAAAATGATGCCAAACTTCGACATATGCTATCAGTCAAATGCGGAAAAGCTTATTCATGCTTTTATGACCTCTATTTTAATGCATTACTAGGGGTTGCCCTGTTAGCCTAATGAACAAACTTTAGCTAGTTCAAAATGCAGCTGCTGGAGTGCTTTCTATTAGGAAAAATATGATCATATTATGCCAGTTCATTCATTATTGCATTGGCTCCCTATTAATTATCATAGAAAGTTTAAAATTTGATTAACTACCTACAAAATCGTGAACAGCTTAGCTCCCCAATAATTGAGGGAGCTTCTGGTGTATTACAGCCCCTCATATCCACTACACTCAATTAATTCTGGACAATTGATTAATCCCAGAACATCAAAATCAATTGCAAGCGGTAGATCTTTCTCTTATCTGGCACCTAAACTCTGGAACAGTCTTTCAAGCCCAGTTCAGGAGGCAGTTTGGATTAGCATACACATAAAACGCAAATGCCTTTGAAATCTAAATCCTATAAAAAAAAGCTTATTCATGCTTAAATATAAACTACATTTAGGCAGCATTTATTAGGGCAACCGGAACCATGAACTTCCCAAAAGACATTATAACAAGAACAGCGTCTAAGCTTCCTGGACCAGACTGTATCCTGAGCAGATGCTGTGGTGGTCATGGAGGAGCGGAGAGCATGAGACTAATTCCTAAAAACACCAGTGACAGACGAGTCTTCACAATGATCCCGTGGGCCAGCCTGAACATCCACCGGTGAACTATACACATTTGCAGATCCTCCATGATGGATGTGCAACATTTCTATAGCCTCCAGTGCCTAGACTGCAGCTCTGCAAAAAAAACTTGGCTAGAGAAGAAATGGTCGAGCCCAGCTGAGCCTGGTTTCTCATAAGGTTTTTTTTTCCATCACTTTTGTCAATTGGTTTGAATAAGTGGTGTAAGCTTGATTTGATCGATAAGTTTGTTCCTTGCCTCTTGCTTGTCTGGTTTGGGACTTGTGGAGCTGCACATCCATGGATTTGCTCTTAATGTTTGGATTTTCAGAAGTGAAAATTAAACTACACTGAACTGAACTAATCTGAATTTCAACTCTGAAAACTGGACTGACAGTTTTAATTTACTAGAATTTCTATGTTAAGCTGCTTTGACAATTTATATTGAAAAAGTGCTATAGATATTAACATGAACTGAATGAAAGATTCCATAGTAAAGTGCATTCTTTCTCCATTAACCATAACCAGTATCTAATCTAATTATCTACATAAATGTGTACAGTTTTGAGGTAGACATGCACAACTTAAGAGACAAAATCACACAATGCACTTATAAGCAGAATATTTAAACAATAAACTTACCTCAGAAGCATCATATGAAATGAAGCACTCAGGATGGATGGTTTTTAAATCACATGGCTGTCTTCTTAGTGTTGGGCTGGAAGGAGGGCTGCTCTCACAGCTGAACTTCCTGTCCTACATATTAGAGACATTAAAAATGTATTATTGCATTAAATTACAAATGTAACTTACACCACTGTACTGAAAACTGAATTTTCAGAAATACTGTGGTAAACTACCATTTAGTGGGTTTTAAATAAAAAAACTAATTTAACCAGTTTTACCCTCGATTTTTCTCTTCTTTCTCTTTGCGTGCTACAAGCATTCATGGTGAAAAGTTTCTCCTGTAGTTCCATGAGCTGGCTCCTCAAAGTGTCTTTTTCTGCAAGACTACGTGCAATCTGAGCCTGGGCTTCATCACGGGACAGATATGCCTTAGGAAAAATCATGAACATTATACATCAAGACAGCTTATTTGACAGTAGCCAATACCGTACATATTCTCCCGCATAATTTTAGAATGTTCTAAAAGGATATTAATTACGCGTGTTCATGTCATTCCAGTCCCCTGAGACATTTCTTATCTAATATTAGATATTTTTGATAAAATCCAAGAGTTCCATCATATTTATAGACTGTCTGGAGACATTCAAAGTCCACAAAAGAAACAAAAAACATGATCTAAATGTTCCATGTGACTTTACTGGTTCACCTGTAATCATACAAACAAATTTGTGCACACAGACTCCCCAATAAAATACAAGAAGCAGAAATCCATGGCCTAAACATTCAGCGCTTGTATTGACGAAGATTTTTTACTCTCTAAAAGTGTGCAGCAGTTTGTATTCCCTAAAAGAAAAACATTTAAGCATGTGAACTAAAGATACAGTGGTATGTATTGTTAAATAAAATCTGTTAATTTTTTGAAAAAAAACACTGGCAGCTGTGGTTGCCAGAATTTTTCTGTAAAAAATTCAGAAGATGTATAGAACTGTTTAAACTTATTGAAAATAATTGTATTTCATTAACTGATACAATATTCAGTTCACAAAAAAAAGTCTTTAAATGCATTAATGTGTTTCTGTGTGATTGCAATTAGCAGTGTTTTTATTGCATTAGTAGTTACACAGTTAGCTTTTTTCCTTGATAAAAAAAAAACTAGCAGCTGTGTTTTTTTTTTTTACATTTTACATTCGTAACAGAATATTTCTGTTAAAAATACATTCCACAGTGTGTATTTTTCATCAAACACATTTAGCCCCTTAAATTCCAGAGCAAAATCCTCACTAGTGTCTTGAACACTAAGGGCTCTATTTTGATGATCCATGCGCAAAGTACAAAGCGCAGGGTGCAAACATTAGCATTTAGGGCATGTCAGAATCCCTTTTTGCTAATTTAAGGACTCCACTTTTCGCCGTGGTGCATGGTCTAAAAGGGTTGAGCTTATTTTCTTATTGAGTTATAGGTGTGTTTTGAGAATAAACCAATCAGAGTCTCATCTCCCATTCCCTTTAAGAGCCAGTTGCGTCGCGCCAGGGTGCATTTGCTATTTACATGACGACTTTGTAAGTGGAAAAAATGAGCGCTTCACTAACAAGAAAACAGTTAAACAGAGCATCTGCAGCGCGAGAAGGAGAGATAAGGCCTCTCATTTTCTACTTTCACTTTCACTCTCGTGGATAGGGAAACCTTGTACGCACAGACATCAATTAGCCTATAAATAATTAATTTAGTTTGTTAAGCGCAAAGTTTTTTATTTGTTTCAAAACTATTTCTAAATTCAGTTCTAATTTCCAAATAAATGAACAATAATAATGAAGTGTTGTCAAAAAAACTGCTAAAAAAACTGTTACATCCAAATACACATGCTGTGCCCCATATGGTCTGAAACCTGACAGGTGGCCAAATCTAAGCTCGTTTTTATTAAAAACAAATATAAATATGGATATAATAAATAATACTGCTAATAATAATAACATTACGCAAAAGCGAACTGTCACGAATAAACTGAAAAAGCCCCAGAGATGAAGAAGGCATGAAAGTATGGTTTTTATATTTATGTAGGCTAGAAAATAATATGTTTTGTAATATTTTAATCTTTTATATTTATATCCTATAAAACTACCTATATCCAAAGGAAAGAAAAACAAGACCAAATAACACAAATTACAACCAATACCAAAGATGAAACCAACAACAATAACAAAAAAAAAAATATATATATATATATATATATATTAATTAATAAAAATAAAACAAATTACACAATAAAAATTGTGTTTCTCAAGATCTCAGCAGAGATCATTAAACAACTCCACAAACATCAGGAGCTTCACTTATTACTGACCTTTGACCTTATTTCTGTCACGTGAACAAAAGCTTTTAATGACATATTTGTTGTCACCATGATGAAGGACAGCATCTGCTTTACTTGGACACTTCAACTTTTTGTTTTATCACTAGTTTTTATTTTGGTTGCAATCATTCATTGTGTTAATCACACTATTTGTATAGCATGAAAAGCCAAAAAAAAAAAGAATTTTCATTCATTCATTCATTCATTTTCATTTCCGATTTAATAATCCAGGGTTTTTTCTTAAATATTATCTTTTTTTATTCTGTCACAACAGACCTTTAGTTCCATTATAATGATTATTTATTTTACTGCCCAAACACTAATTCCTATTTGCATCAAATAATTAGGCTTTCTACCATGCAGTAGCATCTGTACCAGCAGTAAATAATTAATTCACAAGTATGACCTGTATCACTGCTGCAGCAGTGATATTCTTTAAAAATCTTTTTGAGACTTATACCACTGCAGCAGAATAAGTCTTTGTTTACACATGTTCTATTTTTAATATTTAGGAGATGTATACAGCTGCAAAAGTATAAGTATTGATTCTCAAGTGTTATCAAAGAGATTGGTATCTACACACATAAACAAACTTCATGAAATTAGTCCAATATTGGTAAAAATGCTCACAAATGTATTGGGCCATACATTGGCATACCCATGTCATCAGTCATTTATCTGACAAAACTCTCACTTCTGCTGCAGTGATCTTTTCGTTTTTTAACAATAACTTGCATTTTTTTATTTCAGCAACTTATTGCAGGGAGGGATCAACTCTTCAAATCTTCCCTTACACTCTTAGTTCTACTCCCAGCTTGCTCTCCATTTATCACACTTTTTGGGGGACCAGAGGTTTAAAGACAGGAGGTTCGAATCTCTTTTTGAGGACAGAAAGCCAAAGTTTGTTTGTGATGATTGATTGTGCAGGCAAACTTATGAAATGAAGTTCACAGCTTAGATTCGGGAGGAGCCTAATCATTCAGACATGTCAATCATTATCACATTGGTATAAAGGTTTATGCCCAAAAAGATGAATATCAAAGAAAACTCTATTTATTTCAATAATTTGTTTTAAAAAGTGAAACGTATATGTCACTACACACAGAAGAGGGTTTGATCCCTCTATGGCACTGGTGTCCAAACTTGGTCCTAGAGGGCCGGTGTCCTGGAGAGTTTAGCTCCAACCGTAATCAAACATACCTGAACCAGCTAATCAAGCTCTTAGATATACTAGAAACTTCCAGGCAGGTGTGCTGAAGCAAGTTGGAGCTAAACTCAGCATGACACCAGTCCTCCAGGACCGAGCGTGGACTCCCTGCACTGTGCAATCACAACATAATATTTTTATTTCCTCAATTGAGGAACAAAGGTTACCATTAGATTTTTGTATCAGTGTAAAATGATTTTTTAAAAAGATGATGTTACTAACCTTGTCTCTCTCTGCCTGCACATCTTCAAGCTGACTCTGAAACAGCATGCTCCTGTGCTTGTACATCTCACAGTCCACGGTCAACTTTGCCACCTCCAAAGCCAAAGAGTTCTTCTCTTCTAAGAGCTTAACATGTGAAGAAAGGGGAATGGTGAGGACATTGAATGCAAAAAAGTGAAAGGGAGAGGGGCACTAAATACACAAACTACTGTAAAACATGCATTTCTCCTAACAGAGAAAAAGTACAGCATATACATTTTATAGAAAGTACAACATACAAAGTAGAAGAAAATAAAGACAAAACAGAAAACATTAAAATGAAGTCCTGTTTTACTTCTTCTTTCTCTTGCTGGAGTTGTTCTTTTTCCTCATTTATTCTGTTGACCTCTTCAGCAAGTTCTGAACGTCTGGTCTCTATCTCTTTTAAATCATGGGCTAGGATATCCTGCTTTACCTGATTGAAAGAGGCAGACAGACAGACAGACAGACAGACAGTAAAGGTCGTAACATAAAATAAACTGGCTTTTTATATTGTTATATAGAAATTTGTCTATAATTTACCGGGGAGAATGTCTCAGTTTCCAGTAACTTTGCACGTACAGCACTGAGCTCATCTTTCAGCTTCTGTGTGTCACTTAAATTTTTCACAGAATGCTGCCTCTGGAATTCTGTCTGCTTCTGTGCCTTCCTTAAGTCGCATTGCAGCTGGTAAATCTAGAGAAGAGATGAGGAGAGTTCATTGCACCTTGATGCTAATAAAATACTTAAATAAATAAAAAAATCTGCATTTTACTTTCTGTTGTGCTGCTATACTATGCAGTTTTCTAAAGTGGGCCTTGCCAAGTTGAGTAGGAACACAAGTTTTGCTTTGTTTTGTTAATGTAGGAAAATTTTAAATCAGAAGTGTATAGGTTTCTTGTAAATGAACCCTCTGCCCAAACCATCAAGAGAAATTAGTTTGCACTGAACCAAATAAATAATGAACATGTGCATGTTATTTTATACCTAACTGTGACTTTTCTCATATTTTTAAATTTCTACAAAGATCAAACAATTTATGACTCTAGATCACACTTTACAATCAGTACTGTTGCCTATCTACAGTAGTGGTTCAAAGCTTTCATTAAAACTTGTTCTAAAACTATTGAACAACACCCATTCTTGTCGTAGAACAATTAAAAAAAAAACATTTTTAATCCATTTCAAATGTTCTGTTATACTATGGTATACTATGGTATTTATTTATATTTTTTTATTTTAGTTTTAAAGTGAAATAGGCATACCTATTTTTTCTAGTAATAATAAAACTAATTAATTAAATTAAAATAATAATAATTAAAATAATAAAATAATTTTTTTTCTATTTAAGGCAATTTGAACTGCACAATCATTTAACTTTTTAGGTAATTATTGTGCACATTCTCCTTAATGAAATGAAAATCAAAGACATAATCTCTTTAACATCTCAAATTTCTAGACAGTAATCAGGTCTAGAAATTAGCATAGATCACCTCACATTTTTCTCATGAGACAAAAACTCTAATGCTGATGGTACACAGTGAAGTATTACTCGACAGCAATACTTCCGGTACACGCAGGTATCAATAGTAACGTATGACAAAGCATGCATATTACAACACCTGTTTAACATAAATGTATAAACATCTCAGACAACCTTGACAACAATATGCCTTTCTTTTCTATACCTGTATAGAACATACAGAAAATTCTTAAAGACATTACAGTTTGTTTGTTTTTTCTCTTTAATGGTGTGTCATAATAACAGTATTGAATAGTGGTGGACTGGATATATGTGCAGAAACATGCATTTTGGAACTCTCTTTTTTCTTTTTTAGCTGCTTAGCTGTTTACTCAACTTTACACATAGTCCATCTAATGCACTGGCTTAATGACAATCCGTCCAGACCTTGTGCGTGTTGGTATTGTTGTCTCGTTGTCTGTATCTTTTTTTTCAAGAGGTTAAGTGGTTTTATTTTTAACTGTTTTCTTGTGTCTTTGTTCAATCAGATCTACCTTAGATGTTTTACCAAATTGCATTCTTTTCTGATTAGACTGTGCTTGTGTCATACACATCTCACAAAAATAACTCTTATGTCTTATGTGTTATGTCTAATTGTGTTTCTAGTTGGTGTTTGAACTAAGTAGCTATTTGGCTCTGTCTGAAGTGACTACCAATAAATCCATTACCTTTTGGGTAATGAGGAGAACTTGTGTTATGTTTTATTCTCCAATCAGCCATGAATTTCTTGAACAGTTGACCCTTGTATTGTTGTCCATTGTCTGTTAGGTCTGATTGACCAAATAGAGTCATATGGCATTGAATTTTTTGTGCAACAGTATGGCTGCTTGCTGGAATGGGCATTTCATCAACCAGTGGATATTTAGATATTTAGTAGAATAACTGTCATGATTCATAGCGAGGGAATGACATCTGATGCGGTACAGAGTTTGTCGTTGTATTAGAGATAAGCAAAATTTTTTACATATTATATATATTATTTACATATTGCTTACAGAGTATTATAACAGCTTGTTGACCAGTGATAAGCACAGTTATTTTCAAATTCATCTCGGAATGGCCAATAGCTGCGTAAGTTTTTTGGCAGATCTTGTATCTTGTATCTTATCTGGCCATCCCTGATGACAATGCACTAACATTGAAGTCTTTTACAGTCTCCGTTCTGAAAGCTTTCTGTTTGTTTGGAAAAAAGTTCACAATTGCAACAATATGATGCTTAGGGTATTCAAATTCTGCATCCAATCCCTCTATGCGTTCATCAAGTTTAATGTCTTCATTGTTCTCAGGCTTTGGCAGGCAATACACAATGCTGTAGTTGTATCCCTGCATCTTTATCAACATTCGTGGCAGCCTGGGAGGAGCAGCATGTGAAGATTTTGTGCGTATGGTGCCAAGGGTTTGTGGTCAATTACCACAAATAAATGATTTGCCATTCAAGTACATATATAATTGCTGCATTTGATTTATAATAGTGAGCACTTCTTTTTTAATGTTGCTGTATCCAGATTGGCATCCTGTTAGTGTTTTCGAACGGAAAGCAATGGGCCTGTTGTCTTGCACCAGTGCTGATGTATCCACCTTTAAGGTGAGGGTGGTTGTTAGATTATATGTATATGTATTTTAGGCAAACATCAACAGTCAGTGTTGACTTTAGGTCTTCGAAACACTTCTGATAATCAGTGCCCCACACCCATTGTGAGTCGTTTCTCAGGAGTCCCCTCAAATTGTGAGCTTTATCCACAAACTTTTGGATGTAGGGATGTAGGGATCCTCCAGAGCTGCCAGAGTCAACGCCACCATCAAAGCTGCCAGATCCTGCCAGATCACTACCAGATCCTCCAGAGCTGCCAGAGTCGACACCACCACCAGAGCTGCCAGAATCGATGCTGCCGCTGCCAGAGCTGCCACAGTCGCCGCCGACAGAGCTGCCAGAGTTTGTTGAGCCACCGCCTGAGTCCCACGAAAGGCCAGAGCCCCAGTCAGAGTTTCACGAATGGCTATCAGGACCGCAATACTTCCCAGAGCCGCCAGAGCCAGTTAACTTCTCTGTGGTCCTTGAACCCAAGGCTCCTGATCAACTGTAGTTAAAAGAACTGCCAGTACTCCTTGAATCCATGCCTCCTGACCCACTGGGGTTGAAAGAACTGCCAATACTCCTTGAACCCAAGCCTCCTGATCCACTGGAGTTAAAAGAACTGCCAGTACTCTATGAACCTAAGCCTCCTTACCCACTGGGGTTGAAAGAACTGACAGTGCTCCTTGAACCAAATCCTCCAGACATTCCGCAGCTCCATGCTCCAGACTCACTGCAATCTCATGATCCAGGGCCACCGCAGCTCCATGCCCCAGGCCCTTTGCAGCCTCATGATCCAGGGCCTCCGCAGCTCTATGCTGCAGGTCCTCTGCAGCTTCATGATCCAGGGCCACTGCAGCTTCACGCTTCAGGCCTTCTGCAGCTCCATGCTCCAGGCCCTCCGCAGCTCCACTCTCCAGGCCTTCTGCAGCTTCACGCTCCAGGCCCTCCGCAGCTCCACGCTCCAGGCCTTCTGCAGCTTTACGCTCCAGGCCCTCCGCAGCTCCACTGTCCAGGCCTTCTGCAGCTCTTCGCTCCAGGCCCTTTGCACAATTGTTGTACAATTCCAATTTGAACATCGTTTGCAGATCACGTCCTCCGAAGATGGTCCTCGAGGCAATCTCGTCGCCTATGTGAAGTGGACACTGGCGAGGAACTGACTATCATTTGATGCCAGTACCACTCCAGACCCAGCAACCAGCCTAACCACCATCTGCAGGGAGCGTATGCCAGAGCCAACCGCAGATGGAGAGCCAACCGCAGTGTGTAAGCCATTATTACATTACAGTTTGATTACGGTGTTTGTGGAAAACTTCAAATGTCCTAATTCGATTCAATTTGAATGATGACTTTGGGCATATCTAAAGTGCTATTATTAAGTGCTATATGGTTACGTCACACCCACCCAATCAAAAGTGTGGCACGCAACACAGAGGCCGCCTGGGTTGTCAGGTGTGTGCAAAGCTCTAAATCTGTGGTTCAAATTCAATCCTTACTTTTATTCAAGCAAGTTATTTTTATAACAAGCTAGTTTTTATTGATCGCACATGACACAAGCTTATCCCAAAAAATAATGATGTACAAAAGACATCATTGCGATTATCATTGTATTTACATTTAAACAAAAAGTGTCATGTCCAAAAATATTCATACCCTTTGCAAATGTGTCATATTATCATCATTTCAAATATTCAAAGCTATTCTAAAGCATCCTAATTACACTGATTCATTGAAAACTGCTCAACTCAACAGGTAAAAAAACAAAGGCTCTCTGCTGTTGTTTTGTGGACAGTCATGCCTAAGACAAAGTAGCTCATTGAGGACCTGTGGCTGTGCATTGTTGCTTCTCAATAGTCAGGAAAGGGTTATTAGACCATCTCTAAATGTTTTGAAGTTCCAGCGACTACAGCGCAAAGAATTATTTAAAAAATCCAAGACATAGATAATAATTCTGCCACAACCTATTTATATTGCAGACCTTCCATCCTCCACTGTTAACATGGTCAGATCATTAAAATTTAAATCTGCTTTGCCTTGTTTAGGGTTTTAAGGAAATTCGTCCTCAACGCTGCCCAATGGCATAAATAAAAAATAAAAAAATCATTGTGTGATTTAGGAAAGAAATAGAACCCAACTTTTCCCTCTCAGGGAACAATGGTTAGTTGTGTAATGTGGGACACAACATTCATGTCCAACAGAAAAGTGCAAAAATATATAATATAAAATGTTATTAAGTAATAGAAAAAATGTAAAAGAGTTGATATCAGATATAACGTGATAGTAGTCATTAGAATTTTATTTCCACCATTATATTGGTGGTTTGTGATTGGATCACAATTGTGTCACCAGATAGTTGGTTTAGAGCTCCTTGTATGGTGGTTCACTCTCATTCCCACTCATGCTGTCAGAGTATACGAGTGATTCCAGGTCATTATGTGCATGCTGCTGTGTCTTAGCAGTGAGCGTAGCTCTTGTTTCAAGCCCGGTTGCCGTGAAAATGTTTATTTTCATGCATTTTCATGACATTCCCTGGAATTAGGCACGGTATTGAAATTGCAAGTGTGTGAAAAGAGAGTATTTAATGCGCAGATGTGGGTCGAGTATTTTGATCTTATATATAAATACATTTTCATAGTATTTCCTATATTTTTTCTTCTGGTGAAGATCTTGTTTTATATCAGCTAAAATAAAAACAGTATTTATTGTTTTTAAAACCATTTTAAGGTCAAAATTATTAGCCCCCGTAAGCAATATTTCTTTTGATTGTCTACAGAACAAACCATCATTAATTACCCTAACTTGTCGAATTAACCGGGTTAAGCCATTAAATGTCACTTGAAAAATCGTGACCTTAGAATTATAAGGTTCTATCTGCGTCCTGAATGATTTTGAGAAATTTTTGCATTCAGTTAGCAAACAGTATGTGTGTAACATTTGATTTTTAAATAAAAAGTCCTAAAATGTAAACTACATACATTATAATAAAACATCCTATAATTTAAATAAAATGTCATTCAATAAGAATATGTCAATAACTCAATTTTGACAAAAATGTTAGATAGAACCTTATAATTCTAAGGTGACAAAATATCTAGTATCTTGAAAAATATCTAGTCAAATATTATGTACTGTCATCATGGCAAAGATAAAAAAAAAAATCAGTTATTAGAAATGAGATATTAAAACTATAGAAATGTGTTGCTAAAATTTTTCTGTTACCGCAATTGGTCACACTTTACAATAAGGTTCATTAGTTAATGTTAATTAATGCATTTACTAACATGAACAAACAATGAACAATACATTTACTACTGTATTTGTTCATGTTATTAACATTAGTCAATGAAAATACAGTAGTTCATTGTTAGTTCATGTTAACTCATAGTGCATTAACTAATGTTAACAAGCATGGACTTGGATGTCAATAATGCATTAGTAAATGTTCAATTATGAGTAATAAATGCTGTACATGTGTTGTTCATGATTAGTTCATGATAGTAAATGCATTAACAAATGAACCTTATTGTAAAGTGTTACCAAGCAATTAAATGTTAAATAAATAATGTTTACATTTTATATTGTAATGACCTGGCCCACAGCAATATAGCCAGGTGCATCATGGGAGATGGTTTAAAGTTGTTTCGTGTGTTATATTGGTTAAATGCATGGGTTGGTTTTTTATTAACTTTATCTGTGTTTGTGTTTAAGTTGGCTTCTGTGTTTTAAGCCCAATATTTCCTTGGTTTATAAAAATATTGGTTGTCACCATTAATGAGAATGGTGTGTAAAGGAAGCACGCTCGTGGTTCGGTCCTGTTATGGGCTGTTCATGTTTTGAAGCTCAGAATAAAAAGGTGAATGGACAACCCTGTCTCCCACCTGCTTATTCTGCCAGACTGCTGCAAACAGAGATACTCAGAGTCCTGTAGTGTATGGGATATAAGTGTTACTTTCTCTGACATGTTAGGAAATTAAATTATGTGCTGCGGATGCTAGCACCCTGCTAGTTGTTATAGCTTAATTAAACAGTTTAGGTAGGTTATATTAGCTCCAGTTGCCCAAATACAGAAATTGTTACAATATTTAAATGGTTAAATGACTAATGTGTGCAGGGCTAATCAGGCATTCCATTAAGCAGCAGTTTTTTTAGTTATCCCATAGCTACTATTAATTGCATCCAATTGCAATTTAATGATAATCAACGTGCGGTAACAGAAAATCCAATAATCAAAGTGACAAAATAACAATAAACAAACAAACCAAGGAACTATAACAGATTACACTAGAACTAGGATCAGAAACTACGACAAGATACAAAATCAGGAATCAGGAACAACATACCAACAAAGACGAACGACAAACGGACAAACAATGGTTGAATGGCTGTATAAATGGTCCATGAAATGAAGGAGCGGAGGAGGAGCAAGGGGAGGGATAAGAGGGTCAGATCAGGAAGAAACAGGAGAGAATGTCCAGGGTTGGTTCAGCAGGTCAGAGACCCCAGCAGGAAACCAGGGTGAAGCCGGAGGATCCATCCCGAGTAGTGGGGAGGCCCACCAGGGAGGAGCGGGAGGGATGACCCAGGTACAATCCCGCAGGAGACACAAGGCAGTAGGTCTGAGGGGGACCAGCTGGAGAGGTGACTGGACAGGAACCGGCGGGGCTGGAGGCAGCTGGACTGGAGCCGGCGGGGCTGGAGGCAGCTGGACAGGAGCCGGCGAGGCTGGAGGCAGCTGGACTGGAGCCAGCAGGGCTGGAGGCAGAGCTGGACAGGAGCCGGCGGGGCTGGAGGCAGCTGGACAGGAGCCGGCGGGGCTGGAGGCAGCTGGACTGGAGCCGGCGGGGCTGGAGGCAGCTGGACAGGAGCCGGCGAGGCTGGAGGCAGCTGGACTGGAGCCGGCGGGGCTGGAGGCAGCTGGACAGGAGCCAACGGGACTGGAGGCAGAGCTGGACAGGAGCCGGCGGGGCAGGAGGCAGAGCTGGACAGGAGCTGGCAGGGCTGGAGGCAGCTGGACAGGAGCTGGTGGGGCTGGAGGCAGCTGGACTGGAGCCGACAGGGCAAGGAGCCGGGCTGGTGTCAGCAGAGCAAGGAGCCGGGCTGGTGTCGGCAGAGCAAGGAGCCAGACTGAGGCCGGCAGAGCAAGGAGCCGGACTGGGGCCGGCAGAGCAAGGAGCCGGACTGAGGGCAAGATGTCTGGATGGCGTTGGTAAGGCGAGGAGCCGGGCTGGGACTGGCACTGAACTTCGCTCTGGGTCTGGAGCCGACACAGGCGGGCGCTCTGGGGCTGGAGCCGACACTGGCGGGCGCTCTGGGGCTGGAGCCGACACTGGCGGGCGCTCTGGGGCTGGAGCCGACACTGGCGGGTGCTCTGGGGCATGGGCAGTCCTCTTCCTACGCGTCCTCCGTCTGGTCGTCCAAATAAGAGGAGGGGCGTTGTCAGCAGAAAGAGGAGCATGCTCTAGGGCTGAAGCAGGCACTAACGGGCGCTGTGGGACTGGAGCAGACACTGGGGTTTCACAAAGTTCAAGGAGTCTCTCCAGAGGCTCAGAAAAAGGTGGTCTTTGAATAGCCCGACGCAGATAAGCCCGCAGCTTTAATCTAGCTCTTCTCCTCCCTCCCGAAGATGATTTAGCAGGCCCCGAAAACAGATCTAGTTGTTGATTACCCCTCAGGCCTCCCTCCTGAGGGTTCTCCTCCACCAGGGTTATAGAGAGAGGGGAGCCAGCTATTAACAGCGCATGCTTAATGAAGAGATAAAGACTCCAGTCCTCCTCATAAGATGGCATTTGGGAGCGTACTGGTAGTTCTTTAGGGACTGTAGTTCGCTCTGTGTTAATCTCGAACTACAGTGCCCTCTGGTGGACACAGACAGGCATGACACTTACCACTATTATTATTATGAAACTATTCTTGTTGACATCTTGGAGTAAAAAACATAGACTGAACTTGAGGCCGGGTGACCTGGTCTGATAAACTCACTGCACAGACAGCGTGACCATCCTTCTCGAAACCGCAGATGGCGACATGGCGGGACCACAGTATAAACTAGCACGTCTTTCTAGACTTCAGCCATTATTCCGACAGGCGCACGCGCTCTAACCGAAAGCGGTAGACACGTCTCTATAGCAACCTCCCGCAACACAACCTCTCTAATGCGGCGCTTCGCAATATTTGCAAACAAGATATATGGATCATATGTATTGTCACTTGGCAGTAACGGAGGAACGTCGCCAAATGTAGCGAAGTAAGAGTACTGATATTTCTCTAATAATTTACTTGAGTAAGAGTAAAAGTACACATCTTTAAATGTACTCAAAAAGTACTCGTTAAGTTACCCGATAATTTTACTCAAGTTAATGTAACAAATGTTACTCGTTACTACCCACCTTTGTCGACGCGGACATAGAAGTAGAAACAAGTTTTCGGCGGAGTGTTAAAAGCATGTGTTCTAGTTTTATTTGGGTGAGGTGCATTTTTTTTTTAAATTTTGGCACTTAAGTTGCCTTTTTATTTATTTATTTTTTTTTTATTTTGTTTGAATGTTTAATCACTGTTGTGATCAGATTTAGTTTGAAGCAGTTTTCTGGGCCCAGAATTTACAACGGGGGATCTGGTAAGCGAATGTTGTTCTTTTTTTTAATTTAATTTAAATTATGTTATGAGTTTTGTATTTATAGATATATTGTTTGTATGCCAAGTTGGTAATTGATATATTTAGAAGCTTGATTTAGAACACGCCAGAAGAGAAATTTTGAAGTGCATTGATTATAATGCTATTTGAACCTGCACAAATGGAACATTTACTGTTGTGCACACAAATTGGAAATCTATTCATGTTAAGACTATAAGATTATGTTATCAGAATTTTTGAATCATCAGAATTTATATGACTTTTGCCTTTTATTATTTATTATTTGTGTGTGTGTGTGTGTGTGTGTGTGTTTGTGTGAATGATTAATATTGGTTTTAAATATTTTCTGAAGTGATTTACTTAAATACATCTCCATGGAAATTTTATATTTGGTATTTTATATTTTATCACCCATTGATTAGATTGTAAAGGGTATTAATAAGCATGTGCCTGGGCCTGGAAATTAAAGTTTGTTTGGTTTATGAGTTGAGCTAAAAAAAAAAATGAGTTGAATTTAAAGCTTGTTTATTTCCCCCTTTTTTTAAATATATTGATTTGGTTGTTTGATTTTGGTTTAGCTAATTTAATAATACATTTGTTGAAATGTTATTGTTTTATTATTGAAAATTAAATAACTGTTTTATTAGCCAAATACCACTACAACATATTGTTTTGCAACTAGAAAATCAACAATAAACTTGCTTTAACTAAGAAGACCAAAGTTAAAGTATTTAAAAAATGGAATTCTGTCTATGGAATTCTGCTGTTTGTCAGGGTCATAAGCACATGTACTGTAGACAAGAGAACAGGTTTATCCAAACTTTATACAGTTATACAGGTTTTAAGGCAAGTAAAAAGCATACATCTGATTGTTTTCTATTACCTCAAGTTGCAGGTCTCTGTTGCGTATAACATTTGCAGACTTCTCCTCAAGAGCTGTAGTATATCTTACATAGAGATCACATTTCTCATCTTTTAGTTTCAACAGTTCCCTGTTTAAACCTACACAGAAGACAATCAGATATTAAATATTCAGATAAACAGATATTAAATATTAAATTTTAAAATTAAAATTAACACAAAGAACAGCTGAAAAAACTATAGCGCACAATTGAATTGAATTCAGAATTTAAATGAATTCTGTAATTAAAATACCACAAATTAAAGGGTTAACACTTGTGTTATTCCAGTTCACAATAATGAATTGACAACTGTCATTGTTTAAATGCTTACTTTATAAAACATAACAAACAATTTTTTTAAGTAATCTTATCTAAATGTATATGAATAACAATAAATATGTTTGTAAATATTTATTTAGTATTGATATTTATTAAGAGTTATTGAAACACGCCAAATCAATGTAAAATGTGTTAAGTGCACACCATCAAGGTGATTGTGCAGTCGTGCATGCTCTCTCTGTATCTGAAAGAACTCTTGATTATTTTGTTCAGCCTGTCCCAGTTTTCCCTCCAGTTCACAGCACTGAGCTCTCAGCCGTGAAGACTCATGTTGTGTCACTTGTAGCTCTTTCTGCATACTGCTCACAGCATGAACCAGGTACTCTGTCAACTCGGTGTACTTTATCAGGCCTGGCAAGCAACAAAGCAGGGTTTTAGTAATTACTCTTAAATGTGGCAAACACAAAATTTTGCTTCAAAAACAAAAAAGAAAATTATTGTTTAAATAATTATATAAAAAAAACAATATTCAGTCAATCAATTAAAATAAATTTCAACATTAAAATCCAATATAAAAATTGATTTATAATTGTTTAAATTTGTTTTACTTTATCATCAGCTTTTATGACAGACACCTAAAAAGGCTTTCAAAACACTTTAACTAAATTAATAGTTTAGATCAAGGCCTGATGTTTTAATTTAAAACCTTGCAATAGTGCAGCTCTTTAACTACTGGAATGTATCACTTGATCAGAATCCAAATGGGATAACAGGGCACTGACTGACCGCTGAAGCGTGAAGGCTCAATGCTGGGCTGGCGGCCTGTGATCTGTGTGTAGAGAGTGGGGTAATGAATCATCAGACTTTCAAGCAGAGCCATAGCACCATTACGACCCTGTATACGTAACAAGTCAAGCATATGACCTGCAGAAGAAAAAAAATTTTCAAAAATTAATTAAAATATATATATATATATATATATATATATATATATACATATATATATATATATATATATATATATATATATATATATATATATATACAAAAATCAATAAGGCTGCAAGCAGAAATTAAGGGTCAAACAATGCAGAAGCAGTGAGTTTTGACACACATGGCGGAAATCAGAAAACACCAGAGAAAACTTCAAGACAAAGTAAAGTCATTAGGAGATGATTTTAGGCAAACTGATAGAAAAACTGTGTCTTTAAATACTCATAATGGGTCAACAGTTTTTTTTTTTTTTTTTTTTTTTGATTGTATTCTTGCTTCAAGCATCAGCCTAGGTTGATCACACCAATGTGATTGGAAATGTGAAAGGATAAAAATCGTGAAAAAAACTAAAGAGTCTTGGTAAAAGAAATTGCTTCAGCACCTTACTGCTTAAAATTTATTGTATTATAAAAATCGCAAATTCAGTGGAGGCACTGGAGAGTTTGAGTTAAAGAATATAAATTTGCTCTTTTTAATGTCCTCTCTGTATATGGCACTTGTACTGAGAATGTGCATTCTTCAAGCATAGTGCTGCAATTTGTCACGCACAGTCACACGCTGTGCTGTAGCAGCAAAGGCCGCCTTTTCATCATTCATTTTCTTTTCGGCTTAGTCCCTTTATTAATTTGGGGTTGTCACAGCAGAATGAACCATTAACTTATCAAGCACGTTTTTACTCAGCAAATGCCCTTCCAACCGCAACCCATCACTGGGAAACATCCTTTCACATTCATTCACACACATACACTACAGACAATTTAGCCTACCTAATTCGCTTGTACCACATGTCTTTGGACTTGTGGGGGAAACCGGAGCACCCAGAGGAAACTCACGCGAACGCGGGGAGAACAAGCAAATTCCACACAGAAATGCTACCTGACACAACCGAGGCTTGAACCAGTGACCTTCTTGCTTTGAGGCAACAGCACTACCTACTGCGCCACCGCGTCGTCTTTTCATTAAAAAAAAAACAAAACATTTTTATGCTTTACACAATATCTACCAGGTGGTGCAAGAAACAACCGCTTTTCCATTGACGGCCAGTGCATGGGAACGCCCCCCATATAAAACAACCCTGCCAGGGGTGCTTTTCCGAAAACCATTACTAGCCAGCTAAGGCTGCAAGTTCCATCATTATAATAAATAAATAGAAAGGAAAGAAAAAAAACATAGCTAATGTTCAGTTTAAGATATTTCATAAATGCCTTATACGCTAAGGGTCTTTTTTTTGTTTTGTTTTTTTGCTTAAGATTGGCCTTATGTTTTTCCTTTAAATTTAAAGTTGTTTTCACTTATTCACATATTTTAATTTAATAAGTGATATTTCTTAAAGCATCCTTCCTGATGTTTCAATAATGCATAATAATCTTTACACCGCATTAAAGACACAGTAGCCAGTAACATTCAGTTGTCCAGTTTTTGTCACATTTAAAAGTGATATTTAAAACTTTTGCAGGTTCTATGCAATAGTGTCATAGATCTAGATAAAACAGCCTAAGCTGTATTGCAATCATTTAAAGATTATATATCGGATATAATAAAAAAAACATTAAATAAATAAACCATTATAACAAACAAAAGCTATAACAATTTAGGTATAAACAGTAAAATATATACACGAATTAAACTGTTTTAAGCCGTTTTTAACTTTCATTTTACAAAGGCCTATCTGGAAAAAAGTTTTTAGATATTTTCTGAGAACAATAAACAACAGCAGTATTTTGAAATATTATTTATGAATTATTTGGATACGATGATATTATTCAAATCGTTAAAAGAGACAATTATTTTGGGTGCACGAAACCATCAGAAACTTTCAATTCTTTTCTGTCCTCCAGTTCTGCACTGCCCTATTCCTTTTAAATGATCCATTATGAATAATTAATAAAAAAAGATATCTACACAGTAATCCTACTTTAATTAAATTGTAGTTAAAAAAAAAAAAGTTAATACCTCTAAATAAATTAAAAAATTGCTCATATAGCCCAGGTAGACCATAGTGTGTCTGTGCTATATTTACTATGTGTGTTTACATTACATTTAGTCATTTAGCAGACGCTTTTATCCAAAGCGATTTACAAACGAGGACAAGGAAGCAATTTACACAACTATAAGAGAAACAATGAATAAGTGCTGTAGGCAAGTTTCAGGTGTGTAAAGTCTAAGAAGGAAAGGATTAGTAATTTTTTTTTAGTTATTTGAGGAGTGAGAGAGGGAGTTGCATATTAGTAAGGAAAGTGGAGACTAAAGCCTGGTTTATACTTCTGCGTCAAGTGACCGGCGTAACTCACGGCGCAGGCAACGCGCGCAGCTGTGCATTTATACTTCTGCACGCTGTCTCTGTTGGTCTGCATTAACACTTCCGAAACGCTAGTTGGCAGTGAGGTGTTAATGTGTCTCTGTGTCGAGTTTCTTCGCTTCTGTTTTGCTTTTCCTGAACACTTCCTGGTTGTATAAGTGACTCAAACTCGCTCATTTTGAGGCAGGAACCGGCGGACGTGCAACAACTTTAACTATGAGGTAAACACAAAACAAAACTTTCCATCCGGAGCTCCTTCACGGGACTCCACAATTGTAAACAATTGCTCGCACCATTCGCGCGGCTCTCCGTCCCGCCCAGACTCATCAGCGCTACCAAGCCGACCAATCACAGAGCTTGCGCTACGCATTGTTGCGACGTGTAATCACATTTTTTGAGAGGTGCACGTCAGTGATGGCGATGGCCACGGCGAAGGGCTATGCGTCAGCGCCGTAGCATACGTCGGCGTTTGACGCAGAAGTATAAATTAGCCTTAAATAGTTGAGTTTTTAGTCGCTTTTTGAAGACAGCGAGTGACTCTGCTGTTCTGATGCAGTTAGGGAGTTCATTCCACCAACTGGGCAGATTGAGTGCGAGCGTTCGTGAAAGCGTTTTCTTCCCTCTTTGGTATGGAACCACGAGGCGACGTTCATTCACAGAACGCAAGTTTCTGGAGGGCCTATAAATCTGCAGAAGTGACAGCAAATAAGCCAGAAATCGCTTTTTAAGCAAACATTAGTGCTTTGAATTTGATGCGAGCAGCAACTGGCAGCCAGTGCAAACGAATGAGTAGTGGACATGTGCTCTTTTAGGTTCATTAAAGACCACTTGTGCTGCTGCATTCTGAAGCATCTGAAGAGGTTTGATAGAGTTAGCTGGGAGCCCGGCTAGTAGAGAGTTGCAATAGTCCAGTCTGGAAGGAACAAGAGCTTGAACAAGGAGTTGAGCTGCATGTTCAGATAGGAAGGGTTGACATAACACATACTAAAATAAGCCTACAAACACTTTTTTCATGGCGATTTAAAATGGGAGAAAAAGCACTGTTTTACATTGCAAGTATACTGATTTATTTATTTTTTTTGTTTAGTATTAGTCCATTCCACAATTTACACATTACTGTCTGGCTAGTTTTGAACAAATATATGACAAAACAGCGTTACTGACAAAACAAACAAACAAACAAACAAACATGTATAGTATTATGTAAGTGTAGCAAACTTAGAATATAACTCATAAAAAACTGATGATACTATTGATGAGACAATCATGATTAGCCTATTTAATTTCTTGCACACCTCTCTTATTGTTCGTAGCTCTATTAGTTTAGTATGTTTACTATGTTACATAACTGCCCATTGCTGGTCATGTCTTTCTTGTGTTAAACCATTTTGTGTGGTACTGCGCAACACTGGAGCATTCCGTGTGGTCTACTTCAGCACTCACAAGCAGTCAGGCAGCCATAGTGGAGGAGAGAATTAAGCAGTGTCAGAATGACAACCTTTTTCAGCAAATAGAGGAGGACAAGCTTGTAGAAATAGAGTATCACAGACTGCGAACACAAGCAAAGGACGCTCATCGTGTACAAGATGAGGCTCTTGAGGCAAAGGAAGTAATAGCAATTGGAAAAACAACAAAAGCTAAAAAAGGCAGAAACTGACTTAGAAGTTAGTAAACTTGTAAGTTCTTTACTCAGTCTCAACACCTCACACTTCCCAAAATGCAGGTCATAAAAACTGTTCCAGATGCACAGAGGACTCTAAAGGATCCATACATGCTGCATTCAATACCCTACATTCCTCCAGTGATATAACAAGCCACTAAGTCAGCACACGTTCCAGCTCACACTGCACAATTCGGCCATTTAGAATCCACCAAGAGGAGGCTGGAGAACGCTGGACATTCATCGTGGAGAAGCTGCAGGTGGGAGTGGTCACAGGCTGGTGTACAGACTGGCCCTTCAGGATCAATGCAAGGACTTGTCTGTCACTGTGATTTTACAGGGATCAGTCTTATGCTCTTCACTCATCAGTGAACACCACAGCAGCTGCTCAGGATACCAAGTGTTAATGAGTGATCTGAAATTCGCTAGTGCATAACAGCTGGCTAAAGCTTGCTATATGCACCACCCAAGCTGGCTATTTGCACCACCCACAACCATACAATGCAGCTTTACAAGCTTTACAGGCCAGCCCAGACAGCTTGTTCAATCTGAATTAGGGGCCATAATGAGTACACCACCACTTAAAATCCAATCCTTAAACTAAAACTAATCCTTAGTTGGTGTGTTGTGGACTCTGGAGGGCCTGAATGCATATGAGCTCAAGTGTGGTTCCCACGTTGACTGCCTTTTGATGCTGCTCACCTAAAGAGAAAGCTACGTAGAGTACCGCTTTAGTCATGGGATCCTTCAATCTGGTACAGACAGAACTTATACACTCCCGACCTAGCAGCCAGGTTTCAGGCAAAATCACAAGCCAAGCGGATCTCCAGTAGAGCTGTTGCTATGTTCCAGTCAGATATTACAAAGTCATCTGTGAAGAGTAAAGTTTCTTCATATCATTGGGAGCATTCAATGTCTTTGTTTCTGACGTCAGAAAACTGTTTAGTCTCAAGCAGCTACACCAATAGGTCA